TCTCACATCAGCCCAAGACATGACTGTCACAGGCAGATTACAGTTCGTCCCCTACAGGTCCTCATCAGCGCACATCTCAGCGATGTACAACCATTCAGTCTACGAAACATCTCAGACCATCTACTATGGTGGACCAAGAAATCGAATGTCTGCGAAGGGATTTGTTTAGCAGAGCAGGAATACAAAACCCATCTGTATGTAGGCAGCGTCACTCCAAGGTTGGGGAGCTCATCTCACCAACCACCGCGATATCAGGATTATGGAATCAGCAAGAATGCAAACTCCATATAAACAGTCTAGAAATGAAAGCTGTAATCAGCGCCATTCTACATTGGAGCACATTTCTACAAAATCTTGGCCCTAATGATCCATACAGACAATTCGACAGTGGCGTTCTACATAAACAAGCAAGGCTCAGCGAGATCGATGAACCTTTTGAACCTAAGCTTTCAACTGTTGATTTAATACAAGATCTAAATCTACATGTCAGAGCAGTGCACATTCCGGACCAGAAATATACTAGCAGGCGGCTCTCTCTCGGCCTCATCTACCATCACCGACAGAGTGGATGATCAACAGGAAATTTTTGCACAGATAATCAAGCAATTAGGGCCGCTAATAGACCTATTAAGCCCGCAGCGATTCAACAATCAGCTACCGACATTAGTGTCACCAGTCCCAGACCCCCAAGCTTGGGCAGCGGACGGCTCTAAGTCTATCATGGGAAGGCCTCAATGCGTGCAGCGTTTCGCCGCCAGCAATAATACCTCAAGTATTACAGAAAATCAGACAAACACAGAGCCTACAACTCACTTTGGTGCAGCCCTACTGGCCGGCCAGAGCGTGGTTTCCCATACTAATTCAAGAAATCGGTCAACCAACACTGGAGCTACCCAAAGCGGCGCAAACCTGTTAATTCATCCTCACACCAAACAAGTGCGCGGAAACCCAGCAATGTTCCAACTACGCGTATGGACTGTATACAAATGTGTTTAAACAAGAGGATATTCTGCCAGGGCGGCAAAAGCAGTCAACGCGCCTTCGTTACTCAACTTCGTGGCAATGCGGCGACAAGTGGCACAGTTTGAAAATTATGCAACAAAGAAAGGGTTTACAGCAAGAGGCTTCACAACCTCAAGTGGCAGACTATTTGTGTTACCTACGCCAAAACAAACATTTAAAAGGTTCAACGATATCAACATATCTTGCGGCTTAGTTCTGTAATCACCATGAGAGCGGGTGTCAAATTGACAAGATCTCCAGAGTTACTGGCCTTACTACGAGCTTTCCGATTGGAGGACCAAAGCGGAAGTTCCACGCCCAGCTTGGGATCTGAATGTAGTGTTACAACACCTCCGCGAGTGAGGTCTATGAACCTTTGGAATCGACAAACTTTGAATTTCTCTCACAGAAAACACTGTTTCTGCTATAAGCTAGCCACAGCAGCAAGAATGTCTGAAATTCAGCGCTCTGGATTACGAGAGGATACAGTTTGATGACAATCATAACACAGCGCACCTCGGATTAAGATGGGATTTCATCGCCAAAAAATCAACTGCCAGGTCAACCAGACAGATTATTCCACATCCGGCTATCCTCTATTCTCGGATCACAAGATACACAAGACCTATCACTGTGTCGGTAAAGAAGCTCAAAGTTTATTCTGACGATCCAAAACAAGGAGAAGATTTCTCAAGCGTTTATTCATCCCCTTATAAGCCTCTGAATCAAACAGAAGTGTCACGGACCACAATATCTATTTGGATAAGGACTGTCATTCTCCGTGCCTACAAGGCAGCAGGCTTGGACCCACCAACAGCATCAAATCCACATGAGATCAGGGCACTGGCCTCTACCCTAAGCCCTACGGTAACTGTTCCTTGAACCGCGATTATGGAAGGATGCTATTGGAAATCTAACATGGTATTTGCTAATCACTACCTGAGAGACATCACTACAGAAGATGTCTCTGGCATTCACCATTTAGGACCACTGGTCCTCGCTCAGCAACTGACAGTCCCTGCGTGGCGTTAAAATATTATCCTCACAAGATTAATATGTATTTTATACATACTCATCTAGCTTATAACTCTCTGAGAGTTTTAGGGCTATGTATATATGTTCAGCTTAAGTATTCAACCTTAAGCATATACTTTGGTATAGTCAATTTCAGTGCCTCTATCAGAGTCACCTATATATATATATATAATTTATATGTATTGTTCAATATATTCATAATGTAATTCCCCTTTAATGGCTTTATATAACCTATGGTTTTCTTTATACAGGAAACATCCTAAATCTAAGCCTTCATGAAGTTCCGTAGGGGAATATTACAGTATATCTATACAAAATCACTAATTATAAATCCAAAGTATTCTGTTACCCACCTCCGTTCCGTTAGGATGCTACAAACAAAAGAGCATGAGTCAGGATAAGGAAAAATATGTAATTTTAGAGTAAAATTGATATTTTATACTTATCCTGACTCATGAGGTTAACCCTCCATCCTCCCACATAACACTTTGGATTTCCCTGTAAATTCAAGTGTTGGGCTCATTAAATCAGGAGAGAGTGGAGCACATGGCCAGAGGGTGGCGACACCTTTCCATCCAGGGGAACAAAGGGAGCAACTTCGTGGTGAGTACCAATTAGTGATTTTATTTTGAAGGGAGCTTCAAATAAGGAGATACAAGTGTTCCACTATGTTACTTAAGAAAGAAGACAAGACAAGCAAAGAGCATGAGTCAGGATAAGTATAAAATATCAATTTTACTCTAAAAATTACATAGTGAGTAAGGCATTTCAACTAGTGGATAAGCCATGTCAACTAGTGAGTAAGCCATGTCAACTTGTGAATAAGCCATGTCAACTAGTGGGTAAGCCATGTCAACTTGTGGAGTAAGCCATGTCAACTAGTGGGTAAGCCATGTCAACTAGTGAGTAAGCCATGTCAACTAGTGGGTAAACCATGTCAACTAGTGGGTAAGCCATGTCAACTAGTGGATAAGCCATGTCAACTAGTGGGTAAGCCATGTCAACTAGTGGGTAAGCCATGTCAACTAGTGGGTAAGCCATGTCAACTAGTGGGTAAACCATGTCAACTAGTGGGTAAGCCATGTCAACTAGTGGGTAAGCCATGTCAACTAGTAGTGGGTAAGCCATGTCAACTAGTGGGTAAGCTAGTAGTGGGTGGGTAAAGCCATGTCAACTAGTGGGTAAGCCATGTCAACTAGTGGGTAAGACATGTTAGCTGGTGGGTAAGTCATGTCAACTAGTGAGTAAGGCATTTCAACTAGTGGATAAGCCATGTCAACTAGTGGGTAAGCCATGTCAACTTGTGAATAAGCCATGTCAACTAGTGAGTAAGCCATGTCAACTTGTGGAGTAAGCCATGTCAACTAGTGGGTAAGCCATGTCAACTAGTGGGTAAGCCATGTCAACTAGTGGGTAAACCATGTCAACTAGTGGGTAAGCCATGTCAACTAGTGGATAAGCCATGTCAACTAGTGGGTAAGCCATGTCAACTAGTGGGTAAGCCATGTCAACTAGTGAGTAAGCCATGTCAACTAGTGGGTAAACCATGTCAACTAGTGGGTAAGCCATGTCAACTAGTGGGTAAGCCATGTCAACTAGTAGTGGGTAAGCCATGTCAACTAGTGGGTAAGCTAGTAGTGGGTAAGCCATGTCAACTAGTGGGTAAGCCATGTCAACTAGTGGATAGGCCATGTCAACAACTAGTGGGTAAGCCATGTCAACTAGTGGGTAAGTCATGTCAACTAGTGGATAAGTCATGTCAAGTAGTGGGTAAGTCATGTCAACTAGTGGGTAAGTCATGTCAAGTAGTGGATAAGTCATGTCAACTAGTGGGTAAGTCATGTCAACTAGTGAGTGGATAAGTCATGTCAACTAGTGAGTGGATAAGTCATGTCAACTAGTTGGTAAGTCATGTCAAGTAGTGGGTAAGTCATGTCAACTAGTGAGTGGGTAAGTCATGTCAACTAGTGGGTAAGTCATGTCAAGTAGTGGATAAGTCATGTCAACTAGTGGGTAAGTCATGTCAACTAGTGAGTGGATAAGTCATGTCAACTAGTGAGTGGATAAGTCATGTTAACTAGTGGATAAGTCATGTCAACTAGTGGATAAGTCATGTCAACTGGTCTATACGTCTTGTCAATTTGAGGATGAGTCTTGTCAACTGGAGGGTGAGTCTATGGAGACTTATGCTCTGTTGATGTTTTTTAGCATACTTTCCTGGTTTTATGTCTTTGTAATTCTATATGCTGTGTATGTTATTCAACACAGTTACAACCCCCTCTGTAGTGGCTAGAACATCAGTAAGGCATAAACTGGAATATGAATGGACTGGTTGGCTGCAAGTCAGTATATTGTCTGAGTGGGGTGACCATGTTACTTGTGAATGCACATTGCTTTATAAGCGCAATGTTCTTGAACCATACATTAGCATCCGTCTCGACAGAGATATGATATGCTAGCGACCTCTTGCCACCTCTACAGAGATATGATATGCTAGCGACCTCTTGCCACCTCTACAGAGATATGATATGCTAGCGACCTCTTGCCACACTTTTTCTCTCGTATTGTTAGTTGTTGGTGTGTGATCTAATTTTAACAAATCTGTGATAATCTAGTAATTTTACTGTTTAACTTACTCATGAATTTAGAAGCAGTCATCAGAGACAAAATCTTAACTCAACTCACAAATGATGAATAATCACTGAAGAAAAGTATCTGAGTGTTTATATTTATGACTCAAGTCATCAGACTAACACAAAAGATATTAAGATTTATAGATGTCACAACATTTGGTGTATGCTTTCTCCTTTATCACCTGATGAAGGAGCAAGCATACACCCCAAAATGTCGTGTTATACACAATAAAGAAGCTGACATCCATTAATCTTGCTTTTCTTATGCATCAACTTCCAAATGCCCTTCAAAGATTTGAATATGAATATTGTATCTTACTTCTGTTATAGGGAGAACCGTTTATGGAGAGTTTAAAGGACAATAAACCCCTACTGTACAGTTTGATGTTCTCGGGGGGCGCCATCTTTGCACTGGCAAGTGGACTGCTTCCAGACCTTGCCGACCAGTTTCAACTGGTCGCATTTCCAGATGAGGTAACTATAGCAGTAACTATAGCAGTTTGTTCAAATACACCTTAAATCGATGACGTTGGAACAACACAATAAATTGTCAATATGCAAAACCCAACATCAACAGTCTTATCTCATTCACTGCTAATCCACCGGAGTATTTTGTTCACAACTTGCTTACGAAGATACAACAACCAAAGTAAAAGATGATAAGACTTATACGACAGAGAGATGAATTGTACTAGGAACACTGTCCCATAATTATGAAAATTATGTCTTCCTTCAACATGTTGAGTGTGCTGCTGTACTTTGCAACTCAAAATCCTCTTCTCGATATTCTCAGTGATAATAGTTCTTTGGAAATATGTTAACTCTGCAAGGTTGATCCGAACATTTTTTTGTCAACGGAGGAGGTATTTAGATGAAGGTGTTTAGCTGACATATCTTTTACTTACCCCTGTCCTTTTCTGTTTCAGTTTAGCAACACAGTTCTTGGTGTGATATCAGCAGACATTCTTTCAGCATTTGTAGTCGACAGATCTATACGATTTTGCCTAGGAACGGGGAAGTTAAAATCTACATAGTAACTTATTTTTATATAACATTGCCTTTCACATGCTTTTATTAACATGGCTGTGTCTCAAATACAGGACTTCCCTTCCTGCCCCTTGATATACTGTGGTACTTTGTCTGACCTCATTCTTACATTCGATCATGTCACTTTCATCTGATGGTTTGGGGCCAACTGATGTTTGAGGTGCCTCTCTCTTCAGGTGCAGTAGTACTGTCATGTGATGTCATGTGTCAGGTGCACTGTTGAAGGTGCACCCCCTCTTCAGGTGCAGTAGTACTGTCATGTGATGTCATGTGTCAGGTGCACTGTTGAAGGTGCACCCCCTCTTCAGGTGCAGTAGTACTGTCATGTGATGTCATGTGTCAGGTGCACTGTTGAAGGTGCACCCCCTCTTCAGGTGCAGTAGTACTGTCATGTGATGTCATGTGTCAGGTGCACTGTTGAAGGTGCACCCCCTCTTCAGGTGCAGTAGTACTGTCATGTGATGCCAGGTGTCAGGTGCACTGTTGAAGGTGCACCCCCTCTTCAGGAGCAGTAGTACTGTCATGTGATGCCAGGTGTCAGGTGCACTGTTGAAGGTGCACCCCCTCTTCAGGTGCAGTAGTACTGTCATGTGATGCCAGGTGTCAGGTGCACTGTTGAAGGTGCACCCCCTCTTCAGGTGCAGTAGTACTGTCATGTGATGTCATGTGTCAGGTGCACTGTTGAAGGTGCACCCCCTCTTCAGGTGCAGTAGTACTGTCATGTGATGTCATGTGTCAGGTGCACTGTTGAAGGTGCACCCCCTCTTCAGGTGCAGTAGTACTGTCATGTGATGTCATGTGTCAGGTGTGTTGAAGGTGCACTGTTGAAGGTGCACCCCTCTTCAGGTGCAGTAGTACTGTCATGTGATGTCATGTGTCCAGGTGCACTGTTGAAGGTGCACCCCCTCTTCAGGTGCAGTAGTACTGTCATGTGATGTCAGGTGTCAGGTGCACTGTTGAAGGTGCACCCCCTCTTCAGGTGCAGTAGTACTGTCATGTGATGTCAGGTGTCAGGTGCACTGTTGAAGGTGCACCCCCTCTTCAGGAGCAGTAGTACTGTCATGTGATGTCATGTCAGGTGCACAGGTGCACTGTTGAAGGTGCACCCCCTCTTCAGGTGCAGTAGTACTGTCATGTGATGTCATGTGCCAGGTGTACTGTTGAAGGTGCACCCCCTCTTCAGGAGCAGTAGTACTGTCATGTGATGTCAGGTGCACTGTTTGAGGTCCCTCCCTCTTCAGGTGCAGTAGTACTGTCATGTGATGTCAGGTGTCAGGTGCACTGTTGGAGGTGCACCCCCTCTTCAGGTGCAGTAGTACTGTCATGTGATGTCAGGTGTCAGGTGCACTGTTGGAGGTGCACCCCCTCTTCAGGTGCAGTAGTACTGTCATGTGATGTCAGGTGTCAGGTGCACTGTTGGAGGTGCACCCCCTCTTCAGGTGCAGTAGTACTGTCATGTGATGTCAGGTGTCAGGTGCACTGTTGGAAGGTGCACCCTCTTCAGGTGCAGTAGTACTGTCATGTGATGTGAGGTGTCAGGTGCACTGTTGAAGGTGCACCCCCTCTTCAGGTGCAGTAGTACTGTCATGTGATGTCATGTGTCAGGTGCACTGTTTGAGGTCCCTCCCTCTTCAGGTGCAGTAGTACTGTCATGTGATGTGAGGTGTCAGGTGCACTGTTGAAGGTGCACCCCCTCTTCAGGAGCAGTAGTACTGTCATGTGATGTCATGTGTCAGGTGCACTGTTTGAGGTCCCTCCCTCTTCAGGTGCAGTAGTACTGTCATGTGATGTCAGGTGTCAGGTGCACTGTTGGAGGTGCACCCCCTCTTCAGGAGCAGTAGTACTGTCATGTGATGTCAGGTGTCAGGTGCACTGTTGGAGGTGCACCCCTCTTCAGGTGCAGTAGTACTGTCATGTGATGTCATGTGTCAGGTGCACTGTTGGAGGTGCACCCCTCTTCAGGAGCAGTAGTACTGTCATGTGATGTCATGTGTCAGGTGCACTGTTGGAGGTGCACCCCCTCTTCAGGAGCAGTAGTACTGTCATGTGATGTCATGTGTCAGGTGCACTGTTGAAGGTGCACCCCCTCTTCAGGAGCAGTAGTACTGTCATGTGATGTCATGTGTCAGGTGCACTGTTGAAGGTGCACCCCTTCAGGTGCAGTCTTCAGGAGCAGTAGTACTGTCATGTGATGTCATGTGTCAGGTGCACTGTTGGAGGTGCACCCTCTTCAGGAGCAGTAGTACTGTCATGTGATGTCATGTGTCAGGTGCACTGTTGGAGGTGCACCCCCTCTTCAGGAGCAGTAGTACTGTCATGTGATGTCATGTGTCAGGTGCACTGTTGGAGGTGCACCCCTCTTCAGGAGCAGTAGTACTGTCATGTGATGTCATGTGTCAGGTGCACTGTTGGAGGTGCACCCCTCTTCAGGAGCAGTAGTACTGTCATGTGATGTCATGTGTCTGGTGCACTGTTGGAGGTGCACCCCCTCTTCAGGAGCAGTAGTACTGTCATGTGATGTCATGTGTCTGGTGCACTGTTGGAGGTGCACCCCCTCTTCAGGAGCAGTAGTACTGTCATGTGATGTCATGTGTCAGGTGCACTGTTGAAGGTGCACCCTCTTCAGGAGCAGTAGTACTGTCATGTGATGTCATGTGTCTGGTGCACTGTTGGAGGTGCACCCCTCTTCAGGAGCAGTAGTACTGTCATGTGATGTCATGTGTCAGGTGCACTGTTGGAGGTGCACCCCTCTTCAGGAGCAGTAGTACTGTCATGTGATGTCATGTGTCAGGTGCACTGTTGGAGGTGCACCCCTCTTCAGGAGCAGTAGTACTGTCATGTGATGTCATGTGTCAGGTGCACTGTTGGAGGTGCACCCCCTCTTCAGGAGCAGTAGTACTGTCATGTGATGTCATGTGTCTGGTGCACTGTTGGAGGTGCACCCCCTCTTCAGGAGCAGTAGTACTGTCATGTGATGTCATGTGTCAGGTGCACTGTTGAAGGTGCACCCCCTCTTCAGGAGCAGTAGTACTGTCATGTGATGTCATGTGTCTGGTGCACTGTTGGAGGTGCACCCCCTCTTCAGGAGCAGTAGTACTGTCATGTGATGTCATGTGTCAGGTGCACTGTTGGAGGTGCACCCCTCTTCAGGAGCAGTAGTACTGTCATGTGATGTCATGTGTCTGGTGCACTGTTGGAGGTGCACCCCCTCTTCAGGAGCAGTAGTACTGTCATGTGATGTCATGTGTCAGGTGCACTGTTGGAGGTGCACCCCCTCTTCAGGAGCAGTAGTACTGTCATGTGATGTCATGTGTCAGGCGCACTGTTGAAGGTGCACCCCCTCTTCAGGAGCAGAAGTACTGTCGATTGATGTCATATGTCTGGTGCACTGAGCTAAAGAATGTCTTGTAAAGCAGTACTTGTTAACTAAACATGCATGCCTTATAGAATACAATCCCTAGACTGAGCTGCCTTTGTGTAATGAAATCCTGAAAGTATTATCAGATATCAGTGTATTTACTGATTCTGTGTCATGACATGTTTGACTGGTGACATTCCATGTTTGCTGGATGCCCTGTGTTTGATGGGATGACATGTGGAGCTAAGAAAAACTCAGCAAACCTGTCATGACTGCGCGATGTGTATCTACTGATGTTTGACTGATAATACAGTTGTGATGTATGTGATCAGCTCACTGTTTGACATTATTGGGGCTTGGAGAGCTCTACAAATTTGATAATGTCTAAATAACATTGTGTTTGTGACACGTTTGATGTGCAAATGTTCAAGTCATCGTGTTTGACTGTATGGTGTTAGGTCAGCATGTTTGACACAATCTCATCACAGTACAGGTTGATCAGTAGCTTCAGTACTCACCATTGCTCAATGTTGGTGATGTCTGTGATCATTTACCATTGCTATATAACCATCATAACCCGTGCTATCTATTAATCATTACCAGAAAGTGAGGTAAGAACTTTATGCAGTGTACTAAAAGTGTAGAATGTAACTGAAACAGATAGTGGAGTAAGATGAAATTCTGTTGAAATCCTCAACAGGTATATGCACAATCAGTATCAAATGCATGTTCGGAAAAGAGTTTTTTCTTTTGTATGAAATAACCAGAATTATAGCAAATTAAACATCACTCAACACCTATGCATTTCATGTGTTATTTGTAGTTGAGAGGAATAAAAGTCAATGTCCACATTACCGTGGTCTTGTTGATAATCAAAGGAAATTAAGGTACTACTACTGGCCCTAACTAAAGAGATCTGTATGGGTGTAAGGCTATCCAGGGGAGATAACCCCATGGGTGTGCTGTAGTATGGAGGAAGCCTGTATTCGAGACAAAGCTTTCTCCTGTCACCTCCGAGAGAGACAGAGTTTTGTAACACTATTTTTGATTGGGCAGTGATGTGGATCTGAAGCAGACCATTTGATAGTATATGTACCTTGTGATTATGTCATAATTGTGATTGGATGGTGGGTTTGTTAATTATAGACCCAGGGACAATTCTGACAATGATGCAACTGTTTTATGTCTAAAATGAAAGTTTTATGAGGAGCAGGCGACTGTAGATAGATGTGATGCTCTAATTGTCAACTCCGGTATTAGGATACAATCAGTCTTTATTTGGCTATGTTATTCACGGAACTAGATCGACCATATCTCCTGGGGGTGGTGAGGTAGCCTAGTGGTTAAAGCATTCGCTAGTCACACTGAGGACCTGGGTTCAATTCCCCACATGGGTACTATGTATGAAGCCCATTTCTGGTGTTCCCTGCCATGAAAATGCTGGAATATTGCTAAGGCGGCGTAAAAAACCTCACCCACTCACCATATCTCCTTTGTAAAGTTGTTCGCCTTAGACATTCCAGAATCCTAGGAGGGTTTGGGAAAAGTCTCAAGATCTGTATCACGTTCTTACACAATAACACCATGTAATGCAAACGAAGCACTATTCCAGGTTGCATCAACCCAAATTCACTCTGTTATCTGTACTAGTAACACATGGGTTTTCCCCGCCTATCTGTGTATCCATCATATTCATGGGAAAGTTAACATGCTTACAAACATCAGTGTTATGGTCAAGTGACCACTATCCCTGTGGCAAAGCGTATATCATGTTACCCATTAAAACATGTTACCCAGAAAAATTAGACTCTGTTCTATTGTTATGGAATGTTTGAGTTTGTCTCCTGAGTTTACAGCTGAATGAGTACATTGTTTTGTTCTTGAGGCCTTTTTGTTTTATTACTTGGTTTACGGATCTGCCGACCGAAATGTGAAGGAAGTGGGAAAAATAAAAATTGTTTTTACATATTTTTTTTGCCTTTATATGCCACCGACCTGATAAAAAACAAAGAAAGTGAAAAAAAAAGAAAAATTATGCCTTTCAATTATGGACCTTGAGTTTAGTTTTAGCACTTTTAGCAATATATTCCCTGGGGAACCAGAAATGGAGAAGCTTAAACAGAGAAACAGAGTGGAACAGAGAGAAAGGTAATGAATGCCACAGGCTACTCAGCTTGCATGCTGTACCTGGCATATATGATGTGTGCAAATAACATCTCCATATTACCCCCTAGGGGTAGTGGGGTAGCCTAGTGGTTAAAGTGTTCGCTCGTCACGTCGAAGACCCAGGTTTCAATTCCCCACATGGGTACAATGTGTGAAGCCCATTTCTGGTGTCCCCCGCCGTGATGTTGCTGGAATATTGCTAAAAGCAGCTTAAAACTAAACGCACTCACTCACCCACCAAATTCCCTTTTTTCATCTTTTTTTATCCCCTACTGACCTAATATTTTTTTCAAAAAATCTGTAAACCAAGTAATGAAAAAAAAAATCCTGATGACCTGTGTGTCCAATTGATGTCAGTCAACAAGAACTGAGGCTGCAGTAGCTGCAGATCACAGAGACACATCTTGTGACCAATGGGGAGACTGGCATTGTCAAAAAATAAAAAAATCAGTGAATATCGTGACTGTCTATTCAGTACAGTGCTTTGAGGAATGTAGAATTTTTTTCAATTCTTGGGTGGCCTGAATGACAGGGTCACATAATGAGGCCAAAAACAGGAATTGGTTGAAAAGGTAGCCAAAGAACTGTTGCATTGGAAGAGTCACCAAAGCTTTAGATGATCAATTTTGGTGTCTCTATATTAGTATGGTTATGTCACTTGTAAACTGGCACAAAAATGTTTCATAAAGTTAATACAGGAAAGAATTTTTGTACTATCTATTTTATATGCAAATATGTTGTAACCTGTGTTGAACTTGTTCACCAGGAACAGGATGAGAATCTACAGGATGAGTGCTATGAAAGTTGTTAATGTCATTGAATTGTGCAATCAGACTTTTGTCATACATTGTCCATGGTCTCATTGGTGAGTTCTGCATGATGGAGTGTGAAGGATTGTCTACCCAGGGTCAACTGTCAGGATGTCTAGATGAAGTATTGAACCATGTGGAGTACC